TGATTTCTCGCTTTCTGTCTCTCTGTCTCTCTCTGTCTTTCTGGTGAGTGTACATGCCCTATAGCAAAAACCCCTCAAAAAAAAAAAAAAAAAAAGAAGAATCCCAGGGTTCCACCGCTGCCCAGCATACACAGCAGCCATCCCTCAGGCCTGCTGGCCCCCGGGCTGGTCCTCGCCCCAAGCTGCCTTCCTCTGCTGGCATCAGAAGTCTCTGGTCTCCCCCATCTGACCATTACGTGCTATCACCCAACTGCCTACAAGGCCTTCCAGTTTATTGTTTTTGTTTTAAGTTTACCTATTCGTGATAAAGTACATATATACACAGAGAGAAGGAGAGAGGGGGGCATACTCTCAGCAGGCCCTTCCCCAGCACTCCCACAGCACGGGGTCCGGGGCTTGCGCACGCATACCTGGTCCTCTTCAGGCCGACCCAGGGATCTGAACCCAAGTTGGTCGTGTGACTTTCCAGCACCTTAGTTCCGATTGCTGCCGACTGCATCACCAAATCTGGGCCAGTTTTTTGTTTGTTTGTTTTTGTTTTTTAAGAGACTTTTGCTGTAGGGCGCATTTGCTCAACAGAAAGACAGAGACAGACAGAAAGCAAGATATCACCCCACCCCAGGGGGGATGGCCACACTGCAATCCCTTCTTCTCCATTCTCCTTTTGGGATCTTGGGCACGCACACACACGCGCCCGGCATGAGTTTAAGCCACCGGGTCCAGGACGCGAACCGCGGTCGACTGCATGGGAGTCCAACGACATAGCCATGATGCTAACTGCTGGTTCCCGAGAGTGGGCATTCTTAAACAAGCCTGGTGCAGGCCACTGCATAGAAGGATAGTGCCTATAGCTCGGGTCCTGTGAACAGTAGCCTCAGCACTGGGGATATCACAGTTTATCGTTCTGAGTGTTGATCTACTTCCAGAGCACCCGTTCACCTTGGCACACGGCCTCTGAGCACAGGGAGGCCTGTCCCCATGGAGCAGCTCAGGTGCCAGCCCCTACCGTGAGGGCTGCCTGCCTCGTGTCTCTTGCCATAGCTATGATTATCCTGTTTGCCAGGTGGGTGATTAAGGTCACATAGTCCCAAACTGCAGACCCAGGGTTAGAACCCAGACCTCACTGGCTCTCAAGTGTGTAGAAGCCCCTGGAAGCCACCTGGAGCAGAGCAGTGTGGGTAGAGCAGCTCTCCAACCGCAGCTTCTGGCTCCTGACTGAGGTGGTGCAGGTGCAGGTCATCTTGCAGAGCGTCTTTTTTTTGGGGGGGGAGAGGTTTTTCGCTATAGGGCGTGCGCTTGCCAGACAGACAGAAAGAGACATAGAGACAGAAAGCGAGAAATCACCCCCCAGGGGGGATGGTCACGCCACAATCTATATACACAGAGAGAAGGAGAGAGGGGGGCATACTCTCAGCAGGCCCTTCCCCAGCACTCCCACAGCACGGGGTCCGGGGCTTGCGCACGCATACCTGGTCCTCTTCAGGCCGACCCAGGGATCTGAACCCAAGTTGGTCGTGTGACTTTCCAGCACCTTAGTTCCGATTGCTGCCGACTGCATCACCAAATCTGGGCCAGTTTTTTGTTTGTTTGTTTTTGTTTTTTAAGAGACTTTTGCTGTAGGGCGCATTTGCTCAACAGAAAGACAGAGACAGACAGAAAGCAAGATATCACCCCACCCCAGGGGGGATGGCCACACTGCAATCCCTTCTTCTCCATTCTCCTTTTGGGATCTTGGGCACGCACACACACGCGCCCGGCATGAGTTTAAGCCACCGGGTCCAGGACGCGAACCGCGGTCGACTGCATGGGAGTCCAACGACATAGCCATGATGCTAACTGCTGGTTCCCGAGAGTGGGCATTCTTAAACAAGCCTGGTGCAGGCCACTGCATAGAAGGATAGTGCCTATAGCTCGGGTCCTGTGAACAGTAGCCTCAGCACTGGGGATATCACAGTTTATCGTTCTGAGTGTTGATCTACTTCCAGAGCACCCGTTCACCTTGGCACACGGCCTCTGAGCACAGGGAGGCCTGTCCCCATGGAGCAGCTCAGGTGCCAGCCCCTACCGTGAGGGCTGCCTGCCTCGTGTCTCTTGCCATAGCTATGATTATCCTGTTTGCCAGGTGGGTGATTAAGGTCACATAGTCCCAAACTGCAGACCCAGGGTTAGAACCCAGACCTCACTGGCTCTCAAGTGTGTAGAAGCCCCTGGAAGCCACCTGGAGCAGAGCAGTGTGGGTAGAGCAGCTCTCCAACCGCAGCTTCTGGCTCCTGACTGAGGTGGTGCAGGTGCAGGTCATCTTGCAGAGCGTCTTTTTTTTGGGGGGGGAGAGGTTTTTCGCTATAGGGCGTGCGCTTGCCAGAAGACAGAGAGAGACAGAGAGACAGAGAGACAGCGAGAAATCACTCCCCAGGGGGGATGGCCATGCCGCAATCCCTTCTCCTC